AAAAGTTGTGTTTCTCTACACCAGCAGTTAACAACGGCAAAGGAAAATTAGAAAATCAGTTTTATTTACATCCAAAGAATCAAATACCTGGGATGAATTTAATCAAGTAGGTAAAAGACATACAAATGGAAAACTACCAAACATTTGTGAAAGAAAGTAAAGACCTGATTGGGTCTAAAGATATTTCATGTCTGTGAATTGGCAGACTTACTAATCGTAAATATCAGTATAACTCAAACTGATCTACAAATGCAATGCAGTCCCCATCAAAATCCCAATGGGCTTCTTTTGTAGAAATGGAAAAGCCAGTCCTCAAATTCATCTAAAATTGAAGGGGCCTTAAAGACAAAACAATGTTAAAGATGGTAAGAACTGCACATTTCTTGTCATCACAATCCACAGAGCGACCGACCGCAGGCGAAGCAATGTGATTCCGGCTTAATTACAAACAGGCCAATGAATAGAAATGAAAAGCCCAAAATAAACGCAGACGTCTATGGCCAATTTATTTTCACCAAAAATGCCAAACCTTCCTAAGCACAAGTCAACAACCCGCTGTAATGTGTGTGCACGGGGCGGGGCGGGGCGGCGGTCCATAACACCCAAACCACAAAAACTGCAAGGTTCTGAAACATAAAACTTTATTGAAAGACATAAAGGAGAACTAACTACATGGAGCGCTATACTTTTCTAATGGTATAGCAGTGAAGACCCAGTATTGAAAACACATTAATCTATAAATTTCAGTAAATTACAGTCAAAATCCCAATAGATGTTTTTCTTGAAATTTGGCAAGTGGTTGTTAAAATTCATATGCCGGATGGAGGATCAAGAGAAAGCACGGCTATTTCGAAGAGTAAGAACAAAGGTTACAAAGAAACACTGAGTTGTGATGCGCATGGAGTCTAAGCTTTGGGTCCTGATTTTACCCCTTACTAGCTATAGAAACCATGGGTAGATTACTCAGGCCCTGTGTGCCTCTGTTTCCTCATTAGTAAGTGGTCATTTTAATAATAGACAGTAGCTACTGGATCAGAATATGCATATATATATATATACTTTTTTAAATAATGAAATTTATTTATTTATGTTTAGGGTTTTTTAATCATTTTATTAGGGGCTCATACGACTCTTATCACAATCCATACATACATCAATTGTGTAAAG